TCACAGAGTGGAAGTCAGTGGATCAGCATTGACTCGGCTGTCTCAAGAGCCAGACAGTTTCTCCTTCTGTTTTCTTATTCCTGCGTAAACTATTATTTTCCTAGTCAGCTTGTTGACCATAATTAACACCAGAACTCACTGTTTTCTTTTCTCCATCATTATGGGAAAGTACGTTCAAGCGATACATTCAGAAAGGGTTCGTACCCGGACGATATAAGGGACTCAATAGCTAGACAGCAAACAGCTTGGGTAAAACTTAAGGGACTTGGACAGACGCTTCTTTCTCTAAAGAAGGTCAGTGACTAACAAATATCTGAAGACTCCTACCGCAGCTAACCGTGAGGAAACTGCAAATTGAGACCAACTTTTCCCTTCGGTGCTGCGCTGGGCCCAGAGCCTTGTAAACGCCAGACAAACCCTGAGCCTCATCCCCAGTCCTGGGGAATGCGAACTGAAATCTTGGTGAGACATCATCTTCAGACTGTTTGCTGTGAGTGCAACTAAACGGGAGTCTTGTACACGCACGCACACACACACATACACGCACACACACACACACACACATGCACATGTACACATACGTATGTATTGGCCCTCCTTCCGTCCTGTCTTAGCGCTGTTATTCTTTTAATCTTGCCTTTATTTACTTAGCTTTGGTGCTAAGGATTGAACCCAGGGTGGAATTCTAAGCATGTCCTCTGCCACTAAACTGTGTCCAAGTCTTGATTTTCATTCAATGGGTTTTTTTTAATTAATAATTTGTTTTGTTTTAGATAAAGGTTTACCCTATCACTTAGACTGTTCCTTTAAAATATTCAGACAAAAATTAATTGCACAAAGGTTGTCACCTAATTGGTTTCTTCTCTGCTTTGGACGCAGTTATTCTCCCTCTCTACAGAAAAAGCTACTTCTGAATTTCTCATCTGATGAAGGCAAGCACTGACAGTAAAAATGTAGGCTGGTCTCGAACTCAGACTCTCCTGCCTCGGCCTCTCAAGTGTTGGGGTTACAGGTGTTTGCAACCAGGTCATTCTGAAATCATAATCTATTTTTGTTATTTAAAGTTTCCTTTTTCCTTTTTTTTAAAAATTGTGTTTTTAATCATAGTTAAAAGTGGGCACTCTGGAGTCAGCCTGGGTCGATCAGGATAGAAGCCACCTGACTTTTCTGGTTCCTCACTACCAATAAGTTAGAAAGGGGGTATAATGGAATACCTATCCCTAAGGATTTTTGAACGTGAGGGATGTGAGATAAGGGGAACACCTAGAACAGCCCAGGAGAAACAGAGACATCTAACAAACACTCAGGAGTGTAGCAGCTGGAGCAACAGTAGACTTGGGTGTTATACCAGGACCAGCAATACGGCGAGACAAGCACACACCTTTCAGACAGTAGGGTGAATAAGAGCTCATGCTGCCCAGCGTATGCCAGCCAGCATTTCTGCCTCTTCATCCTCTCTGAAGGACAGCAGTGCCAGTCACCTGCAGCAGCTGGAAGCTGGCTGGTTGAAGAGGACAGAACCCTTCCTAAGAGTCCTTTGCAGGTAGTGCTGGAGCCGTCTTTGTACCCTGGACCATGGCATTTCAATCGACAAGCAAGAACCCCCGTTGCATCCCGCTGGTACTGTGAAGCCTAGAGCAGCGTGCACAGACACAGAAGCCCGAGGTGACCGGGCAGGCGAGGCGACACTGTGGACCCCAAATGTTGAATGGGTAAATGGTAAGGTGCGGGGTCTCTTACTGGAGCAAGCTCTCCTGCCAGTGACCTCTTACAGCAAAAGCACAGCGCGCGAGACGGTACACCTGCGAGCTGCAGTTGACGTTGTAGTCTGGAGTGCCAAGAGAGTTTTTGGTGACGTGAACCTGGCCCCCAGGCAGACTTCCATGACCCCCAGGCAGCAGTCGATCCTTGGGGGTGGGGGTTGAGCACATGAAGGCGCCAGTAGCTATGACTGTGTGTCCCAGCCTTGACCACTAGTGTGAACTAGAAGAGGAAGAGTAGGGTGTGTACCAAGTTCCTTCTGGGCTCAGAGCACAGCTCGCTGGGTCTCATCATCTTCCAGGATTGGTCTTCTAGGCTCATTCTGTAGTCAGGGCACCAGCCTTATGGAAAAATGCACTGACTTGGTCACAATGCTCCGGCTACCACTTGCCAAATTGGGGAGTCACGCTCAGGCCTGTGTCTTTCATACCCCAGTGTCTGAGCCTAGGTGATTCTCAGAGTTGGTGATGAGAAACCTAAAGATCAAGGTGCCACCAAGTTCAGAGGCTCATTTCTACTCTAAGATGGTAACTTGAGCTCTGTCCTCCTTCAAAGAAAAGGCAAAAGGACCCAAAAGGGTTGAATTCCCTCCCTCTTGCAAGCCGTTTCAAAGGTCACCAATCTTGTGCATGAGGGTGGAACTCTCCTGGGCAGATCACCACCCCCAAAGTCTTCACTCCTTGCTACTGTCACCCAGGGAGTCAAGTTTCGACCCAGCAACATTGCAGGAGACACACGCACTGGAAGCCATAGCTGTTTCCAAAGTGTCTCTTAATGGTTGAGAATGGCTATGTCCTGAGGGAATCTACCAAATACACTCACTATTTTATTTCTTTTCTTTTCTGTTTTTTTTTCCCCCTGAGATAAGGTCTCACCATCTTCCGGAAGTGGAAGCTCTGTATTTTCTCCTCTATTTGGTTGAGTCCTGGCTAGCCTGGTGTTGTTATGTAAACCAGGTTGGCTTTGACCTCACCTGCCTCTTCCTCCTGAATGATAAGATTAAAGACCCACTCCGCCAGGCCAGGCTCGTTTATTCTAATTTTACTCAACCCTACACAGTATGCACAATTATTACCCCATTTACAGATGAGTAAACTAAGTCCCAGAGGTTAGACAGTCCCCCCCCAAGGATGGAGAGGATGGCAGAACTCAGTCCCCGGACCTCTCTGTCCTGTGTCACTTTGGAGGGTTATGAAGTTCCACACTCAAAGCCGAGGATGCCTGAGCGTGGGGTGAGGTCCCAGAAGTGGCAGCTCACTGTTTACCCCTTTGTTTGATCGTTGCGGTCAGGGTATGATCATCCTGAACCTGGCATGACACTGGCAGCTGCCTATCTTTTCCTGGCCTGCGAGGATTCGGTCAGAGCTGAGACAATTCAAGCCTTTCCCTCTTTTCCCTCAGAGCTGCAGTAAAAGACGTGGCTGGCACCCTGCCATGGCTGTCTGTGTGTCTACACTCTCCCTCTGTCCCTCTAAGAATGGTTATATACCTCAGCTGTGTGTGTGTGTGGGGGGGGGGTACAGGTGGCACATCTGGGTACATGTGTGATGAGTACACAGCAGCTAAAGGGCTGAACCTCCCTCCACCCCCTCTTGCCCAGGAATCCGCAAGCAAACACTGCGGTACTGTCAGTGATGTGGGCTGGGACAGTGGTTCTCAACTTTCCTAATGCAGTGGCGGTTTAATACAGTTCCTCGTGTTGTGGTGACCCCAACCATAAAATGATTTTCGTTGCTGCTTCACAACTGTAATTTTGCTAGTTATAAATTATAATGTAAATATCCGATATGCAATGGTCTTAGGTGACCCCTGTGGAAGCGCTCTCATGGGACCCCCCGTCTCCTGAAATCTAGATAGGACCTGCACTCAGCCTCATGGCCGGAACTCTGCTCAGAGCTCCCACTGTTCTGTCTTTTTGTGACATTAATAACTCTTAATCAGTCACATACGCAACACGGGAGCCCACCTCAGTGTACTTGAACCCCTAATCTAATGCATGAGCCAGGCCCTTCTAGTATGAACGACATACTTGAGAACTGTGACCCAAATCTGTGGTCACCTATTAGCGCTTGAGGTGCCTGTCAGGGAAGATTCTGTGGCTGCTATGAGCACAGGCCTGTTCCCTTCCCCTTAACTCTGAAACATCTGTGATGCGGAAGGAAGGGAGGAGAACTCGCGTCTCCAGAAAGTTCTGGGGTTTGTTTGCTTAAATACAGAGCCTCTTAGAAGTCCCTTTGTGACTAAAGGTAACAATTGGGCCTATGACTGATGGCTTCAGCATCTTTTTTAGATTTATTTATTTTAAAAAATTATTTTTAATTGTGCGCCTATGTATTTGCGATCATGCGTGAAGTACCTGAGGAGGCCAGTAGAGGGCGTCGGATCAGCTAGCGCTGGAGTTACAGGGCAGTTGTGAGCAGCCTGTAACTGGGAACCGAACACAGGCCCCGAGCAGCAGATGATCTTAAGAGCTGAACCATTTCTCCAGCCCAAAGATAATCTCATGACACGAGAGACCACTGCCATTATTCCCTTCACAGAAGCTCAGGAGCCACGGGGGAGGTTTCTGGGATTTTAAGCTTTATTTTAATTTTGTTTTAAAAGCCAATGAGGATGGGTACATCCTGATTCCTCTGGGCTGCACTCCTCTATGGTCAGCCCACTCTCTCCCGGCCAGGAGCGCAATCATACCCGGAACAGAAGACATTAGGACAGGGCTAGGCCGCAAGATGGGCTGGGAAACGAGACTCAGTGGGTACCCAACGGTCCTCAATCCCCTGTCCTGCCTGGGGCTCTACCCGTCTGGTGACCCTGTTGGAGGAGTGTGGCTTTTAGAGCTCTTCTCGCCTTCCTGATGTGCTCCCAAGCTCTGATGCCCGTTGGTACCTAGGAACGCTTTGATGTGGTGACTCCCAGGAGCAACAAAACCTTAGGGTTCTCTCATCTGTTTTCGCCTCTGCCTGTCTCCCCCACTTCCCTTTTCCAGTCAATGTCATCCTTGCTGCAGAGGGATCGCCATTCAGAGTTAAAGTGCAGTGGGAGGCCACCCGGGTTGTTTTCAGAATCCCCTCGCAGAGGTGCGATTTCCTCCTGCCCCCACCAGTGGGAGCATTCGGAAACACACCTGGACCTCAGGCTCCGTCTTCTGCTCTGCAGTCACAGCCGCTGACTGGGCGCAGTACCTGTTGACTCCCTAACCAGCTGTTTCCTAGGGGGGAAATCAACGCATCGAGAGAGTCCCACAGCCAGGTTCCCTGCTGCAAAACACCTGCTCACGTTCTCGCAGGACTGACCCGGCAAGGGGCCCAGGGAGGGAGACACGGCAGAAAGGTGTACCATCTCCTCCCTTGCCGCGCTCACCATTATCCCTTTCTTCCCTTCCATCACTTTCGCTCCCTCCTCCTCCTCTTTTTCCTTCTTTCCTCTTTTTCTCCCCCTCCCCCGGCGCTCCTCTTCTCTGCCCCCCGCCCTCAGCTGGCTGCACGGAAAGGGGAGGGGAAGGCCGGCCTGCGCGGCGGGCCCGGGATCAGACGCTGTGCGCGCCCAGGCTAAGCACCGAGAAAGCGGCTCGGTGCTTGCGCAACAGCAGGCGGATCTTCTCGTCGTCTGAGTCCGGGTCCAGCGGCTTGTTGTACTCATCATCCTCGTTCTCCGAGGCCGCGCGGTCCCCGCCTGCACCGCCCGGGGCCCGAGGCGTGGAGGATGAGGGCTCCAGGGCGCTCTTCTTCCTCCACTTGGTACGGCGGTTCTGGAACCACACCTGCAAAGAGTGACCGGGGTGCGGAAGCGGGCTCCACTGAGAGGTCCCCTCGCTGCCCCAGAGTCATGTATGGACCAGGCAGCGCTGCATCTTGCAGCGGCCTGACATTCATATTACTCGGAGGAGGGCGGTAAAATAAAATAAAATTAAGTGTGGCGCATTTCTCCGGCAGCAACCCTCCCTGTGTTGTAGCTTCCTCCTTGCGCTGTCTGGGCAACTGAGCAGAAGCCCGTGAAACCTCATTGACTAAAGTCCTCCCTGGGACCCAGGACAGAGCGATGGTAGAGTCCGGGCCTAGCATGCCCTGGTCTTCCGTTCCACCTCCCGCAAGCAAAACAAAACGAAATGAATGAATAGAGTTGCCCCTCTTTTGGCTTTATAGAGCCCCAGGAAGCTCATGAATAATTGCTCCTTAGAAAAACAACAAAGGCCAGTAAGTATGTTACTTGAGACGTTTGAAGACTGTGGAGCCCTAAAGAGGCGAGCAAACGTGAGACAGGAGCCCAGGTCATTTCCTTGCACCTCTGCTCCACAGCCTTCTCTCGTGGCTGGGACAATCTGTTCAGGTAGGTCCCACTTTGTCCCCCAGAATCTCCGGAATCTGTTCACACTTCTCCCGGGTCCCCATCCAAAGTGTGGCTGGACTAATGGGGCAATGGGAACGTTTGTCCCGGGAGCCTGAGGAGGTGGAAGTAGGGAGATGGTTGCTTGCTTGTGAGGTGTGGAGAAGCCTGTGGCTGGTCTCTGCCACCTTCCTCTGCATGGGTGGGGACAGAGGGTGTATTAACTTCATTTTAAAGAGTGGAGAGCTGGTCGGCTGGTCAGTGTCCCAGAGAATTTGGTTTAAGTCTAGCTCTGCATGCCCTTGATGGCTGGAAGACCACAAGCACCAGGCTGAATGAACTGTCCCTGTCCCTTTATTTGTAAAATATAACAGTGACTTCAAGGCAGGGTGAAATGTAACGGAGGTAGTGCTTACAGGATCAGATGGGCTGGGTAGACAGCTGCCATCTGGGGGGCTATTAGTAATTATTGTAATCTCTACAGTAAGACGGACAGGCAAGGCTTCCTCTCACCTAGTGCCCTTTACTCTGGCAGACATCTGACTGCCAGGCAGATACCTTCTCCCGCACAGACTCACCTTGACCTGGGACTCTGTCATGCCCAGTGAGTACGCTAGCCTCGCCCTTTCTGGGCCAGCCAGGTACTTGGTCTGCTCGAAGGTTTTCTCCAGAGCGAAGATCTGGTGGCCTGTGAAGGTAGGGCGTGTGTGCTTTTTCTTGTGGATGGTGTCGCTCAGGGGGTCTGGGGCTGGCAGGAGGAAGGAAAATAAGGTTAGCGGGGTCAGGAAAGACCTAATGGGTGCCCGTCCTGGGTCTTCCACAGGGATGTATCCCTCCAAGAAGCCACTGAGTCACAGGAGCGTGGTGACAGCTGCCAGTTGAGTAACACTTCTTGTATTCATGTAATAGTTACCGTGATCTCTGCCACACCGGGGTGGACAGGGTCCCTAGAGGACAGCTGCACCAGGCTATAACTACATGGGACAGCAAGGACTTAGAACTGGGCCTTGTGCCTTCCCTCCTAGTTTTCCCATAATTCACCGACGCTGCCTTCCCTAGGGGACATACGGGAATTTCTTTTCTGAGCCAAGACTCCAAGACAAGAATGCCCTTTCTTTCACCAAGACAGGCAAGAGTACCTTCCACCTGCAATCAGACCTCCAGAGTCTCCGAATTCCTTCCCACTTCTTTTTCTTTTGAGACTTCAGCTTCCTAGGTCTGTTGGAAAAGCACGGAGGGCAAAACTTCGGGCCCCATGCATTCCTTGGGGTGCTGCATTGCCTGGCAGCCAGCCTGGAAGCCCCTCCCACAGACCTCTTGGGATCTATTATACAGCCTGGTGTCGGAGTGCCAGAGTCGTCTAGAGAGGCTGGAGACCCCAAATACAGTCAGGACTGACTGCTCACGAAGGAGCTTGAGACTCAAAGCTAAAAGAGTATCCATGTGTTCATTCTTAGTGTGGTTCAGCAGCTTGGGTCCCTTGTCCTCATTACAGGCCAAGACGTCAGCAAAGAGGGAAAGGACCCCTCTTAAAGAGTGGTTGTCACCCTTCCTAATGCTGTACCCCTTTAATACAGTTCCTCATGTTGTGGCGACCCCCCAACCATAAAATTATTTCACTGCTGTTTCGTAACTGTAAATCTGCTCCTGTTATGAACCATAATGTAAATATCTGGTGTGCAGAATATCTGATACGTAACCCCTGTGAAAGGGACATTTGACTCACAGACTGACCCATCGCTGTCCTGAACGAGGGCCACCACTAGTTCTCTCTCCTCTTGTTGTTAAACTGGCCTCTGGCTTTCCTGGCTAGTTTCTCATGTGCACATGTATTCAAGATTGAGGGGTAGGACAGGATGGGGGAGTGTGGGAGAGACCATTTGAGTACCCCAAACTAGATTGTACAATAGGTTCCGAGAGATGAGGTCTGTCTGAGGGAGGTGGCTGTCATTCGGGCACATGGGGGTCAAGGACTTTGGGGATTTCCATCATTGGTTCCTTCTGCAGTGGGGCAGCTAGAGAATGAGGAGAAGAGGGGGGATTTCCCTTTGTCCCCACCACGTTTATCCCACCCAGAGTTTTAGTGGCCCCACAATAGCCCTAGGAGCCACGGCCACACTCTCCCAGTGTGTCTCCTTAGCACATGCCCCTGTCATTTCCTGGATCCCTGATTGGCATAATACCCACCCCCTCCAATCCAGTTCTCAGAAACCTGAGTCTGAGGGATGGGTGGGGTAAGGGGCCCCCGGGTAAGGGGCCCCCCAGCAGTCAGGGCCAAGGTCAACTTAGTTCTGTTGTCCCTGAGGCTGGGCTATCGTCACTGCCATTGCTGACATGGAGCAGGAAGGTGGGTTATGGGCCCTGGCTTCTGGATGGGATGGGACCTCAGTGGGTCTTGGGAGGATGTCAGGATGCCATGCAAAACTGGGCACTTTGGGATCTGAAAGTCCAGGAAGCTTTCTTCACCAGGGTAGCTTTTGCCTGCTTTGTGTGAGGGGGCTGTAGGACTCTGGGCAGAAGCCAACTGAGCTGCCAGCTGGAAGTGCACAGGGTGAGGTGGGCTGTGCTCGTGGGCCTGGAACACACCAAGTCCCTTGAAGGGTAACTGAAGTGGCACCGGGTAAGGCGGGGTTCGGACACCTGTGTTAGCTGGAAGTGGGCTAAGAGTATGAGAGAGTGAAATTCAGTTCTGATGTGACCTGAGGAAAGGGACCAAGTGTCAGGCTGGGCTGTGTAATGGCGGCCGCTGCGGTGAGATAGAGCACAGTGCAGTCCAGCCTCTGAAAGACCCCTTACCTCTGGCCTCCTCCCAGGGACAGGCTAGGGTGGGGTGAAGGCCCTGTACTCACTGTTGTTGCATGGCCGAGCGCCGCCTCGCCAGTCCTGGCCTGTGTCCGCCCAGCAGTTCCGGGTCCGGGTCGGGTACTCATTCCCAGCCTTGGAAAAACTCCCCACCTGGGGGCCATAGTAGACCCCCTGGGAACTGAGTCCACCAAAGCCTGCCACATGGGGGTAGCCAGAGAGGAGGCTGCTGTTTGGAGTGGCTACCGGCCTGCTCAGGATGTCTGTGATCCCATGGGGCGTCCCAGCGGCCAGCTGGGGGCCAAGTCCCGGAGGGCTGAGCTTGTAGAAGGAGTTCTGCACCGAGTACTGGCACATGGGAGCCTTCATTTCCGAGAACTGGGCCAGCTGTGTGTTGTTCAGGAGGAACGTCCCCTGCAGGTTGGATTCCATGGTCTACAGGTCAGCAAGTAGGAGGGCAAGGAGCCCTTAAAGCCCAAACGTCTCAAATGGTGGCCCAGAATCTTACGGCAGGTTCGGAGAGTCACAGTCCCCCCATCCCACCCCGGCCTCTGACTGTCCTCTGGCTCGGTCCTTCCTCAGAGATGGGGCACGGAAGTCAGGTGTCCAGAGAAGGTGGGAGGCCTTCCGCTTTTTCCCTCCGCCAGCTGGGTCTAAGGAGGGGTGTTCCCCATATTCAGAGCACCCAGTTTCTCTGCCTCTGAGTCTGGGGGCCCTCCATCAGAAGTTTTAAGTTCAGGGAAGGGACATTTCCTTGATAAAGATATGGCCCATTAGAATACAGACCTGAGACTGGCTGAGCTGCCAGCGCTCTGCCGCCATTGGTTGGAGCCCACATGGGCCTCACATTGGCTTCTCCTAGACAAATTGCACTTTGAAAGATTGACTGTAAATCAGCCGATCCGTGTGTGTGTGTGTGTGTGTGTGTGTGTGTGTGTGTGTGTGCTTGTGTGCATGTGTGAAAGAATTAGCTCTAGACGCCTTGTGCATGGTCAGAGGCTCCTCTTGCTTACCCAAGTCCAGTATCTAAGAAAAGGAGGGTGCCTGGAGGTAGGGACTGGAGGCTCCTGCGGAACTCTTTATTTGCTCCCTTGAGGGAGAGAAGGACTGGCTCAGAGGTCACCGTCCCAAGCTGTCCCTGTATAAATCCCCTTCCTCCTCCAAGACAGGGTAAGTCGAGCTGGCGCTGCTCTGGGGTAATCTCTCCGACCTGAGGACCCAGGGTGAGAAACTTCTCACAAAAACGGCTTGGGGAGTGGGTCATGCAGGGGTGTGGGTTGAGGGGGGCATTCCACTGAGGCTGAGAAGGGGTAGCTATGTAAATGTTCCTGCTTCAGCCAGTCTTTCTTGGTCTCTTCAGTATCCTGTCTGTCTGATGTCCTGGGTGAAGTTTCTCATGTGAGGGGCCCTATGCTCCTGAGGCAGACTCCTAAGCAGGACAGCTGGGTTGAGACTTGGGACTAAACCGAATCTAAGAGCACTGTGGGCTTTTGTTTCTGAAGGATTTTTTGCTTTTGCAATCTGCTGGTTCTTGCGGGGGCAAGCTCTCATTTGACAACAGGGAAACTGAGGCACAAGGGAATGAGGGCTCACCTTCTAGATCATTCTCTAGATTCAACATTCTTTCCTGAAGTTACTCTCCAAAAAATGTGAAATGGCAGGGACAAAGTGAGTGTCTCTCCAGAAGTTCTTCCTGATCCGGGGTTTGGAGTGGGGGTAGGGGCTGTGTTTTCACAGGTGAAAGACAGGGTCTTTCCTTTGTTAGCCTTCTCTGAGGCAGAGGACTGAGATGGGGGAAGGTTGGCTGCCATGTGGAATCTGACTGTGATGTAAGCACATGGCATGGGTGATCTGGGTGACGGAACAGAAAGAATTTTACAAAGAGGGAGATGATCTTTCTACAAGTTTTGATTAGGAAAAACATAAGAAAGAGTGGTTTTTAATTTTTTAAAAAGACTTTCTCTCTCTCTCTCTCTCTCTCTCTCTCTCTGTGTGTGTGTGTGTGTGTGTGTGTGTGTGTGTGTGTGTGTGTCCCTGGGTCCACCTGATGAATCCAGAAAGGGATGTTGAATCCCCTGGGACTGGAGTTACAGACAGTTATGAGCCCTTCAACGTGAGTGTTAAAAACCAAAGACAGCGTTTTTTCAGCACCATCTCTTCAGCTTGAGAAAAAAATTCTCTCTCTCTTTCTCTCTCTCTCTCTCTCTCTCTCTCTCTCTCCCTCTCTCTCGTTTGTTTATTTTTGTTTTGTATTTTTAACCATTGTACAAAAAAACTTTATTTTGGGCAACCGATTTCTAATTTATGACAAGTTTTACTTTCAGAATCAGACCCACTGAGAAGCCCATTCTCATTTACCCTTGAAGCCTGGCCCTCTGAGCAAGGAATGTTCTTATTCTTTGCAGAAGTTCCTTCTCACAGAATCAGGCCTGAGGACTCTGCTTGTTGGAGTGACATCAGCCACTAAGCCATCAACAGGATGGCTGTCGGGTTCTAGTCCTGTCTTTAATACCTCTTCACAGTGTGCCTTCAACTGATTTTAGCTCTCAGCAACTCTTTGAGATACTCTCTTCTCTCATCTTTCTTAACTTTTGGCCAGTCTCGGCTCTCACCTCTGCAGCCTTGTTCATCTTGCTGACCATGCACCTCAGCTGCCTGGACTTAAACCTTCGTGAAAAGGTTCATAATGGTTGACGTTAAGTTTGCTACTAGGTCATGTGCCAGCTATTCCAGATTCTCAGACAAGTCACCCAGCTGAGGTAATGGTGGTTCTGAAAGTGTTTGAAAAACCTTCTGGGGAATTCAAATGCAGGGAGGAGCGTTGGTGGGCTATCAGTGCCTGGGTGAGAGCTGGGGCTGGACTGGTGCTGAGATGCACCAGGGATTCCGGGAACAAAGATATGGTCATGCCATAACAATGAGAAGTCAGGACAGGGCATTTGCTGCAATGCTAAACTCTTATTTCATGCTAGAGCTGATAAGGGTGTGTTGTCTGGTAACCTTGAATGACGTAGGCAAGAGACGTTAGACACCGTTTAGTCTCCGTGTGACAAAGGTGGAAACACTCCCAGTATGGAGCCCGGCTTTGCATAAAGTGCTGGAAACTCCTTTGGAACAGGGATCACTTCCTCTCTCTAGGAAGGGCAGAATTTGGCAGTTTCCCTTGGTGAATGTCACCTGCCTGCCTGAACAGGTTCCCTGCTTCGTAGGGTCGTTACCTCCTCGAACTTTTCTCATCTCCCGATAGCCAGAATGTTAGCTCTTTCTGGACGCTTCTAGAGAGGGTGCTACTGATTCAGGGGCTTTCCAGGAGCTGGACGTTGGTGGACTCCTTTTAAGGGCAAAGAGAGGTGTCTCCTGATGCCACCCAACAGACCCTATCACACTTCAAACCAGGCTACATCCCAGCCCAGCACCTCAAACTCTCAAAGATGAGTCAAGGAGAGATGGAGACCTGTGCCATGAGTCAGTTTCTTTATTAATTTGACATCTGTTTAGCTGGTGTAGGGAGAATGGGCTATACATCAGAATAGGGAGGGGTGGTCTCTCTCAGTAACAGAGCATGTGAGAGAGCCAGGACATAGTTCATTTTTCATAACAATTAAAAAAAATCAAGGTCATTTCAAAACTTCTAAAAAGCGTCTAAGGTGCAGACTGCAGCATTCTCTAGGCATCAAGTGGAGACCCCAAACTCCTCCTAAACAGCTCCTACTAGCAACGGGAGCGCGCAGCCATGCCGCCGAGGGCGGGGGGCGGCGTGCCAAGCAGCCAAGCCAGGCTGAGCGGAGGGTGCCAAAGCGGAGCCGGGCCGCGCGGGGCGCTAAGAGCCGCTACTGAGGCGGCGTCCTGGAGCGGAGGGTACCGGTCGAGGCGGGGCGACCCCGCGCCCGTCCTCGTCCGCCCAGCCCTCCCGGGACCGCCCCTCGGAGGAAAGCCAGCCGCGCCCGCGGGGACCACAGCATCCCCAGTCCCCGATCCCTACACCCGCCCGGGGCTGGGGCTAGAGCGCGCGCGGGCTGGAGTGCCGGGGCGAGCCTCCAGGGCGTGGGGGCACGGGCATAGAGGGGCATCTGTGCTACTTGGAAGGTTTTTATTGTGTCCTGACGACACCCTCCGAAGAGCGGCAGGCGAGGAAGGTGACCGCCGTCCACCAGTGGCTCCTGGAGAGCGAGAAGAGCCTGCCAGTCTCTTTCCTGGCCGTAGGGGGCGCCGCCCGGGCGAGGCGGAGCCGGATTGTGCTGATTCGGGTCTCCCTCTGCAGGAGACTCTAGTGTGACGTTAAGGCTCTTCCCTGAGGGCTCCAAGGCAAGACCAGCCAGTTGAGGGGTCCCTTCCTGGCCTGGCCCTGAGTCTAGATAGAAGAGGGTCTCTCCTCAGCCTCCTGGTCAGTAGCTCTCACCTGCTCCGGCTCTCCTTGCGCTGGGCCGGTGGTCGGAGCTTGAGTCCAGGGTCTGTGCCAGGACCTCCAGCCTGCGACTACCTGCACTTCAAGCACCAAGTTGGCTCTGGGAGACCTCAGGGTGGTGGTGTGACCTAGGAACTGGCAGGTACATTCACAGCCCTACTCCCTTCCTCTTTCAGTGAAAGACAGCCTTTAGCTCCTCCCACAGCCTGAAGAAGTCCTCAGGAGCTGAGCTGTTCCGGGCTTTGTACATACTGCTAACGTGTTTCTATTGGTTTGCATAGTATTTATTGTATTGATATACACAAGGCTGATTACTGTACAGTTTACACTTTTAACACAGACTATTATTGAAATGCTTGACGATTTAGAAAACCTCCCGTCTATTGAACATGCTGGTGCAATCCTCGGACAGCCACAGGCCCTTCCCTAGAAAGGACTTTGAGATGGGGCCCTGGCTCCCTTTGAGCCCTACAGCAAATCCTGCAGGCTCCTTGCCTCAGTTCCCAAATTTCTAAACACAAGGAACCCCGAATGCACTCTCAGGGTAATGATTTCCACTGGAAGATGATTAATACTGAAACTGAGAGACAACATAAAAATATATATATAATCCAGTTTATCCATACAGCTTCAGAGGACACAGTAAAACCAGTGTGGATGAGTGAGGGGGAGACCTGCACATGTGCACCTGTGTCGTGTCATTCTGGGAAGAGCAGTCCCTTCACCGGGAAGTGGGGGAGTGGGGGGTGGTGTTGTTACCAGTGGCATGTGGCGTGTGCAGGTGTGGAAGGCTGGCACACGAGAATGTGGGATGATGGTGCTAAACTGATTTCACGCCCAGCTTCCAGTTTCCCCCTTCCAGAATGATCTTGTGAGTTTCTTACAAATGAGGTCGAAGTCAAAATCAAAACAACAACAACAAAAAAAGCAAACAAACTTTAACCAACCATCCCAGCCACAGTAGAGCCCTTATTCGTGTCTGCACCCATGTGCTCTTTGGGGGCTTGCTCGCTCTCCCTCACTCCTCTCCCTTCTTCTTGCGGCCTTTGTCCTGATTCCCACAGAGATCCATAGTCGCTAGAGGCAGGACTGAAGTCTGTAGGTCATGCGTCTACAGCAGTCGTTCATGCGAATATGAGACTAAAGGAAGCCCCTTACAGAGGTCATGCCGGGATCTTAGGACACGTGCGACCCTTCAGTAGCCCTCTGGTCCAGGTCTCCTTCTGTGTGCATGACAGAGTGTGTGGAGTTCAGGGTTTGGGTGTTGAGGTGTGATCCTGCAGGACACAGAAAAAGGAGTCACTCAAGAGTCCTGTGCTTTCCTTCCGGGACAGGGCAGACCAGGAGAGGCAGTGTACCCAAGCAAAGCAGTGAGATGGCAGTGTCGTAGCAGAGGCTTGACCCCAAATTACCACCCACTCTTCCCTGTTCTCTATCCAGACGTCTCAGCGCCCTAGCCAGCCAGCCCCCACTGTTTAGTGCAGAGTGGACAAGCTCTCGAGAATCTTACCTAAGGGGCAGAGAAGGTGGTGTCCTGCCAAGGAGGGTAGAAAAAATAATCAAATCTTCAGAGTAGATTTTTTTTTTTGCATAGAAAGTGGCCATTTTTCGGTGATGGGTCTTATACCAAGAAAAAGGCTAGGCAGTAGTGCATCTACACTCTCACACTCTCAGTCCAGGTGGGCCTACAACACTGCTGTCAGCTCTGTGTCTGCCCTGGACAAGATCACTGGTTTCTGGAACTCATGACCTTGAAGCTGGTTTTGGGAACTCATGAACTTGAAGCTCTGGTCCTGGGAACTCATGACCTTGAAGCCCTGGTCTTGGGAACTCATGACCTTGAAGCCCTGTTCTTGGGAACTCATGACCTTGAAGCTCCTCTTGGCTCTTGTTCATAGACTCTCACTGTCAGGTACCCCTAGCTCCTGTTCCTGTGCCTAGTGGTGGCTGACTCTGTGGTAAAGAGATCTTTTAGGCAGGCCCATTCTCTCTAGAATATTACATCTCACGCTGGAAAGCAACAGCCTTGCGCGTTTAGTTCAAACCTGTCAACCTGAGATGCACAGCTTGACGCAATTCCTGCCTCCCAGGACCTTATTCCTCGCCCCCCCCCCCCCCCCTGAGGGTCGGGCTTCCTTCTTGCCTCCCTCCCTCTTTCCTTTTTTTTTTCTTTTCTGAGACAGAGTCTTGTTACACAGCTCAAGCCTGAAACTTCCCACCTCCTGCCTCTGCATCCCAGGTGCTGGGTTTTTTAGGCAGGTGCCATCTTGCCTAGGTAACTTCACATCTTTCAGGAGACACTAAAGGTTCCATCTACAGGGACCCAGAAGCTGGTGCAGAAGAGAAGGATGCTTTTGTATTTTTGTGCTTTTTTGAGACAGGGACTAGTTCTTTAGAACAGGCTGACCCTGAACTCATTATTTATCACGATTCGTCTTGCCTTCATGGCAACTGTCCAGCCTCAACATCCTGAGTGTGGGGGTGACAGGTGTAGTCCACCAGGCCCTTAAGAGAGCCAGTGGTGTTCTGGGAAGTGGCCCAACGACTGGAAATCATCCTGAAGCAGAACTGTCCTGGGCTCTGTAGGTAGTAGAGCTGGGGAGGAATAACGGGCGTGACCAATATGACTCATCTCTGGATGCTTCCCCAGGAGGGGGAGGGGTTGAAAAGTGAGCGTCTGGGCTGCCTTCTCCTTCAACCCCATTTCTAGACTGTGTGCTCACAGGGCCCCCTCTCTCTGCCTTAGGCCCCAGCTCTCCTGTCAAGGCTATCGTCATCTCTCCTCGGTTTCTTTCCTCTTCGAACTTGCCCTCCAGCACTTCAGGTTGTCCCTTCCCACAGCTACCCAGTCAGCCAGTTGTTTAAAAGGCCTCATTGAGTGCCAAGATCAAGAGCAGGAATTCTCAAGCCAGGCTGTTCCAGTTTAAACCCTGCCTCTGTCCTTCTGGGCTGCTTAACAGTGGTCAACTTACTTAGCTGCTTGCTCTTCCTCTCCGTTTCCTGTGCTATAAAATGGGAGCAGTAGCAGGACCTGCCACATTAGATCACTGTGATATGTGAATGCACTGGCAGGTCTGTGGAGCACTGAGGGTAGGGAGCACTCTGGGCAGGGAGCACTCTTGGCAGGGAGCATTCTGGGCTTGTGGAAAGTGCAGCTGCCTAAGTGGTGTTTTTTCCTTACCAGCTGTGTGGCTGCTCTGGCTGGTTAATGAGCACGTGGGTGGGAGCCCCTTCTTGGTCCCTGCAATGCCTGCCCTAGAGCTAATCATTCCTCAAATGAGAGACAATGTGAGATCTGAGGTTCTAGCCACACAGACTCTGATTTCCCACCTACTTTACTACGCAGAGGAGAAGGCTCAGCCTTCGAGATCATTTTGGAGCAGACACCCAATTTATTTTTGGGTAAACTAAGACTCAGGAGAAAGAGAGAGCTGGAGCAGCCGGCGGAGCAGAGGTGTGGCAACATGAGCCTTCTGACTACAGCCAGGACTTCTGACACCGTACCTCCTCCCCAGGCCACTCTCTGGGAAAAGCTGATCCTCCCAAAGTGCAGGAAATTGCCCCTCCGGTGTGCTTGGGGTGCCCCTGCAGTCAGGCTCTGGAACGACTTTTCTCCTTGCCGTGGTACCTGCCCCTCACCTATGTTGTGGCTCCTACCATCTCCTTTTTACCTCTCACTCAGGAGTCCTTGAAGCGGCTGGATAGAACAGATTCTAGCTTGAAATAAAGCAAAACAAAGCATGCCTTCCCACTTCCTCTTACTAAAACAGATTAACTTTAAATTTATTAAAATATTCTATTGTCAGAGCTAGCTTAAATCCTGGAACTATGTTTGCATGGAAAGTGTTCCATAAAAGGAAAACAGAGAGAGAGGCACCGGCTCTCTCCTCCCTCAGCACCTTGGAGAGTCCTGCAGGGCGCAGCCATGCACATGCAAAGGGTATCAAGAACCAGGACCCTTCCAAGGCTTGTGGGACCCCCCCTCTAGCTACATCACTGGCCTGCGTGCCAGTCTTCCCAATGGTACCAGCACCTTAGCACTTAAGCACAGTACAAACCCTGCCACGTGCTGCTTCCTCTGTGCCCTGAGCCTTGACTAACAACTTGCTGGCTCCTTCGGCCTGCTTCTTCACTCTCTAGAGCTCAGACGCGGAGGCCTTTCCAATGCAGGGGGCGACGGGTAGAATCAGAACAAGGCTCAGCCACACACTGCTTACCAGGGTGCAGAGTCCTCCCAGTGGGTGTTCGACCTCTCTAAACAGTTGACTGTCCTCCATTTCAGCCACTTTTTAGATCTGATACTTAGAGCCATGCTATTGGACTCGAGGGAAGTTTAAGGAGAAGGATCAAAATCAGTGATAAGAACTCAACCTTCAGTATGCACGGTAATCACACTGCAGCAGAGAGAAGCCCGGTCTCCTATGGTTAGCCAGCATCTGCTCCTGAGCTGCACCCCAGCCCAGGCGTCTGCATCTTAACACCCCAGGTGGCTTTAGAAGGGGGTGCCGATGACACTCTGCGAAAGGGTACTGTTGAGCCTCACACTTTGTGAAGTCCCTTCACAAAACTAGGCACATTCCTTGCCACACAGCAGTTCTACAAGGAAATAACTGGCATTATTGCTACGTGTGGGCAGAAATGTTGAGGCTGAGAGAGGTCAGTTGGCTTGCCCTGAGTCACACTGCAAATAAAATCTGCCACTAATTGAATGTCAGAGTACATACGCCTTTGTTGACTCCTCAGGACACAACACCTCTCGTGGTTAATTATTTGTACCCTTGCCACACCCGTGCCGTGGCTGGGACCTGGGGTCTCTGGCACGAGCATGTGCTCTATCATGGAGCCACACCCAGTTCCGTACGTACTTTTTATTGATATATAACACACATTCAGAAGAGACTGTTTTCATCTCCCCTTGAGGAGTTTGAGGTTGGGGATATGAGCGTCTTAAGCTCATACAGTGTGGGAACAGGGGGAGCCAGGCCTTGAACCTAGATTCCAAAGCTAGCTTTCACACTTAGAAACAAAGTAGATGTTTCCTGCTGTTCCCAGTAGTCCTGGCTCATAAAGCACAAACATGGGATGGACCGCATGAACGTATAAACGTATGAAGGATGAAAGTGACTACCGAATAACCGCTCCCAGGGAAACACAAGGCGAGTTCCTTGGCAGTCTCTGCCACGTTTTCCTCAACCAATGACTCTATCCCCAATGCATATTGACAGTCGCATGGGAGGCTGTGAGACTGCATGTGCCTGGCTCAGTCGCTCACACTGTCCTCATCTTCCCTAGCACCAGAGCCCCGAGGAAGCTTTAAAACTCCGCTTTCCTGGACAGAGAGACCGTCAACAGAAACAGTGAGGTAACCATCAGAGGGCACGACAATGTGCCGTGGTACTAGATAGATGGACGACAGAGGGCTGCAGAAGAACTCCAGCAAGGTGGAGCTGGGAAGGGCGCATGCAGGTCACTCTGTGGTCACCCTTGTCTGTGTGTCTGCGAATGACTGATCCCAGAAGCACCCATGGCTGGCTTCGCATTTCGAGTGACTTTCAGTGAGTGGGCGAATCAGGAGAGGGGTGATGAGGACTGGCTGGTCTGCTCGTGAGGAGGGACAGTACGTGGTAGGAACAGAGCCTGAAGCCCCTTCACTAGCTTCTTGTTGAGGATGGAGCGTTCCTGCTGCTTTCCAACCCCAGGAGCCATCTCACTCGCTTCCGCATTACTAGCCTGGTCTCGGCCTTTTGATGGCAGAGGGCTCAGCACTGTCTCAGAATCAGGCTGCTCAGAATTCCTGACCCCTAAGCTCATGAGGTCTGGTGGGTAACCTTATCTCTCTCTCTCTCTCTCTCTCTCTGTGTGTGTGTGTGTGTGTGTGTGTGTGTGTGTGTGTGTCTGTGGCGTTAACACCTTTGTAGATCAACTACAACAACTTAACGAAAACATCCTACTTCCTCTCTGCCCTTCAGCCCACCTTCATGCTAACTGCCTCCTCGTTCAGGGCACTGGTAAAATCTGAGTCAAAGAGAAGCACAAAGCAGAGCCTGGCAGTGCCAGGGTTAACGCTGTGACCTCCTTAAAGCTGCTGAGGAGTCAGGGCTAATTTTACTCTCCTATCAGCTCTGCCAATCCCCGTTTTTGCCCAAGTGCTGAGATATGTTGGGAAGCACCCAGTCAGCACTTCTGCCGGCCCCGGAGGCAGCACGGGCCCAGCTTTATGCAGAATGCATAAAACCAGCGAGGGCTTGCTGCTTGGCTCTGGAGTCGGGCCCTGAGAGCTCTGGGGGCAACACCCCAGCTGGTGCTGTGCGTCGGGGGAGGGGGCTGTGATGCTTCCTTGCTCCCCGCTGTCTCCCACCCCGACGCGTCTTGTACTGAGCTGCACCGAGCGGAGCACAATGAAGGGCCTCGGGGCAGCTCAGTACAGGACCCCTCAGGGAGGGTAAGGTCAGAGCTGGCTGCCAAAGCGCTCAGTGCTGCCGCCTGCTGGAGAGCTTCGTTTCATACCCTGGCCCACCCCTCCTTGGCCCACTGCCATGGCGCATGCCCATCACACAGGAGGGCAGCCCCTAGCCACGGAGACCCTCCTGACTTTCAGAGAATCCCACCCACACCTTGGACCTGTCGACTTAGCTCCTTCTTAGACATCAAGGGAGCGGCCTTGTTCACAGAGCAGAAGAGAATTGAAACTACGGCAGGTTAGGACTCCAGCGGGGCTTAATTTTAACCTGGTATGTTTTCTGGCCACATACACAGTGCGGCACCCCACAGGCTTGACAGTGTGCCTTGTGCTCTGCAGTGTCCTGGTCACCAACTCTAGAGCCCGCTGCTTGGTTTCTAAGAGGAATACCAAGATGGTTCACACTTCAAAGCGCTATTTAAAAATTATTCAGGAGTGGTGGCACATGCCTTTAATTCCAGCACAGAGGTAACTGGAGCTCTGTGGGTTAGAGGCCAGCCTGGTCTACGCAGCAAGTTCCAGGGCTTTCTAGAGAGACCCTATTTAAAAATAAATTGTATGGGGGTTGAAGGTGTGGTTCAGAGGCAGAATCCATACCTAGAATCCATGAGACCCTGGGCTCCATCCCTAATACAGCCAAAAGAAGACAAAAGAAAATACAAACAAGCAAAATCAAACCAAGCCCCTGAATGTGTGTACTCTCCTGCAGACCTGAGTCAAAGGAGGTGCATCTGCTTGAGGAGGAAGTTGGGGGGGCAGACACTAGTTTGGGGCGTGGGAATCTGAGAGTCGGGTTCTGACGCTCGAGTGCGCTAATGCAAGGAATGGGCTTGGAGGTGGAGGGAAGCAAGCAGCTACTTCATCAAGGACCATGCCAGGGAACGACAAGAAAGCCACTGTTACCTCCCAAGGGGCTACTCGAGGAGAGGTCACTGTTTGCCCCTTTTCAGGCTGGCCCGCTTCACTATCTGAGCCCCCTTCCTGCCCTCTAGCAGGTCCGGCTGTAGTCCACTCCCTCTTAGTTCCACCTGGAGACAGCATCAGAGACAGAAGAAAGAGGGAATCACACAGGCAGACGCGGGAAGACAGGCAGATGATGGAAAGGAACAGTGAGGAGGAGGTGGGGGCACTGTCCACCGGAAAGGGTACCAAAGGGCAGCACGCGCAGACTGGAGCAAAGGAGAGGTGCGGTAGAGGTGAGCTTGCTGCGGCCGCCAGGGGGCCTGCAGCTTCTCAGTACCTTAGTAAGTTTCCTAAAGGACTCAATATCAGCTTCCAGATCCCCAGGGTCCACTAGGGGCCCCTCAACAATCACCTCCTCGTGCTGCTGGGTGTCGATGGCACCAGAGGAATCTACCTGCCGAACGACTTTGCGAATGATCTGAAAGAGAGGGGGAGAGGAGGAGGGCTGGTCAAACCACCAGGACACAGTGTGTAGCAGATGAGGCCCTGGCGGTGACATCAGGAGGAGAAGCAACAGCCTCTTGTCCCTTGTCCATCGGGGTCCAAGAAGAAGCCTTTCTCTGCTGTCATTTAAGGGGACCGTTAGGGGAGCTTGAATGTGGGGAGTGAGCACTGTGGGTGTGTTTCCTTGACCACTGGTTCGGCCATGTGCAATGCCTCCTCAGCCTCCCGCATCCCACTCTGTTTCTTAGGATAGAAGCTGGTGCTGGCCCATCGTATCTCTCCAGTGCCTAAGGGCAGAGGCAGCCCTTTTCTTCTCTATGTGACTGCTCCTCTCACCTGCTCGATACTCATGTATCCAGAATGGGAGAAGAACATAAATCATGGCTCAGGCCTTTAGGAAGGGGCCAGGAAAGACAGGAGCTGTGGCCCCCTATGTGAGCGGCAGCCCTAGTGAAACATACATGCACCATTTCCTGCTTTCTTCCTTTGCCTTTTGGGGTAATGCTTGCCGGGCAATGCGAACCTATCATGCTGACTGATGCATGATATCAGCCAGTGAGCTTCTACAGCCTTGCTGCTAAGGGAGGCCTTGGGAACAGCTCCTTTTTTTTCTAACAGCTCATCTCAGGGCCAACCTCCCAGGCCCCGGGCTGTATGTTTCACGGGAGCTGATCCTTCTGGAATAGGGAAACTGGTACTATTCATGCTGAGTTAAGCCTTCAGGTTCCAAGGCCCTCGATGTCCCGACTGCAGGGGACCCAAAGATCTCAGCTCTCCTGAGTTACCCCGAATCAGCAAGCTGTCGGGCCACAGCCTGTCTACCCCATCAGGGCATCAGTAAGAAGTGGGTGTCCACTGAGTTTCCTCTCCCCCTTTTGGCTTCCAATCCCACCAGTTCCTCCCCAACTTAGAGGCTCCACACTCACCTTCTTGGTGACAATGTTGCCTTGTTCGTCCGTGAATTGTTCCTCCGTCACCTGCTCTCCTGGAATATTCTGGATCTCATCCCCCTGGAGTCAGAAGAAGGGGAAGACCCAGATTGGTAAGCGGGATTTTTCAAAGAAGAGCAGGAGATGAGGAACTGGAAGAGCCGCGAGAGCAACAGCCGTGTCCAGTGAAGCCCGGAACTCAGCAAGTAGCCCCAGACAAACAACGGCTCCCACGGTGTTGCAGCACCCTATGAACCCTGAGACAGGCTGGGGCCAGAGCTCCCAAGAGCTCTGTGTGCTTGATATTGCAATGGCAGCAATACAGGGTGATTATGCAAGTTCCCGAAGGCCCCCCTCCAAGAGAAGTATGGGAGAGAATGCTCCAGACATCACTGCCCTGGAGGTGACTTGAATTCCAAAGTTGGCAGTAGAAACGGAATAAGAGCAGAAGTCCTAAGCCCCAGAGCTGAGTATCTCTACTACTTAATGCTGGGCACTGGGGTGGTTCTGAGCAGGCACCATAAGCATCTGTGGTTCCCAGCACAGAACACAAAGAGGTCTTCCTGGTCTCATCTGCCTGTCATATCTCCTGGTTTGAGTCGGCATTCTCTCAGCCTCACCCTATGCACGCGTTAGAGTGTCCCCCTCCGATTGTCCTGCCGCTTGCCGGGTGTTACCTTCAGGAAGACCCGTCGGCGGACCACTCTGGTGGAGATGGTCTCCTCGTCGTCGCTCAGGCCCTCGCTCTCCCCCAGCTCCTTGTCCAGCTCCTGGTGAATGTGCTTCAGCACAAAGCACAGGGAGCCCTTGACAATGTGCATCACATTCTGACAGCTGACTAAGAAGAAGCCCAGCAATACCAGAGTGACCAGGAGCTGAGTGATGAAGGTCCACATCCTCCTCTCTTCCCTCTCCTCACCAGCCTGGCCCTCCAGGGACCAGGGACACCAGGGGCCCAGCTGCTGTGGAGATCCAATTTCTCATTCTCCTCTTGGACTCCCGAGGCCCCCAGCAACTCCTTCTGTTCTGTCTCTGCCTCTTTTTGCTCTTTATCCCTTATTCTAAACAGGAGACTGAACAATCTTTCCCGAGTGCCTCTCTTAGCTGGGACAGCGTGACCCAAGTGTCCTTCCTGCCAAACAGCCCGGGATCTCTCCTCACACCCCAGAGGACGTCAGCCTTCTATAATTTTAGCTCTCAAACCAGCTGCTGCTGTCCAACGGGGATGAAGTGGGAAAACAGGTGCAGTGTCTTGGGCTCGGAAGTGCATGGTAGAGTCACCACGGAGAGGGAAACCAGGCTTGCCTTTGGGAGCCAGAGGGAAACTTTCTCACTCAGGGACTCCATAAGTCAAGGCGAACCCAAGAACGCGGCTACTTTTGTGTCTCCATGGGTAGCTATTTCTGTGTTGAGGGAATATGGGCCAGGAAAGCTAAACATTCGTTTAAAAACTACCCTCAGGGTGAGCAACTTGTTCAGACCCAGTCAAGGGAAGAGGGGCCGGGCCACTGGGAAGCCAGGCTGTCATTCCTTTCAGCCCTGAAGGCCTTCGGCATGGCATCGGCCCATCTCAAAGACTCTTCTCAGGCTGGAGAGGAGATGCCCACAGAAGAGAAACCACTCCTAGCAAGGCTTGTGCTTGGAGAACCACCTTGCACACACACCTGTCACAGCAGGCCCTGAGGACCTCCCGCTCTGGATCAGGCTACTGTCCTCTGAGCCTACCCCAGCAGCAAGAACCCAGCCTCAGGACACAGCACACTCCTGCTACAGATCACCACAGCGGGGGCTTGGGAAAGCTAGTGACCTTCTTCTGTGCCTCAGTTTCCTCACTCATGGAACAAGGCTCACCGTGCCTTCCTCACTGCTCTTTGTAATGCTGGCTGGCTCCTACAGTGCTTGGTGAACACAGCCACCACGAGGAACAGGGTCACACACTGCTGCAGTGTGCTCTGCCCTCTAGAGACCAGCCTGTCTCCCGGGTTCACACGGCCACCATCCTTCCCATTTTGGCTGGAGGACAGAGGTGAAGCGGGTGACAGCAACGTTTCTGCGTGAAAAGGTTAACTAAACGAAAGAGGTTTCCCAATTCTATCACCCCGAATGGCTTCACTTCAGTAGGAAAATGCTTGGAAATATCAAATCCCCATACAAAAACACTACAGGCTGAAGGAGAACATTTCATTATAGCTGAGCTAAGAAGAATATAGGCTGGGAGGGTAACGGTGGAATGTAACAGCGATGGAATGGTGTGTGGACGATGCCTGAAGCCCTGTGTGATTGATCCTAGCATGCACACTCATGACTACACACACACACACACACAGAGGCACACACCAGTTTGACTTTGGATATCTCCCATTTCCACCCCGTTCCTCGAAGAATTAGTTAGGTTATAGTCGTTTCAAGTTCTATGATTCCCAAATGACAGAGAGGATTAATGAAAGTGCTGGTAAATAGGAGTTTGAAAACTATTTCCTTCGATGGGTTCATCATCACATCCCTGGGGCCCATCAGACATCTATGGAAGTAACCATTCTAAACATCCAGTAGGTCCCACAACAGCGAGGCAATGGCATCTCCATTTCTAAGCTGGGCATGTGGCCCCGTGCACTCATTCTGGCCACAAGAGTGTGGGACAAGGAACTGAGAGATCTGTATACATCCAGCTCTAGTTCACTGAGGGAGCCTGAAGACAGCCCTTAGTTGCTTGTTTACACTTTGCTCCCTTATGATGCAGGAGTTGGACGGACAATCTATACCTAGAAGCATTCTCCCTATGGTACTCTCTGCTCCTCAGCGTCTCTCCTCCAAGGGAGCAAATGAAGCAACACAAAAGACTGTGCCTGGCTTTCCCCCTGGGGATTCAGAGCTGTCCCAGTGACCATCACCTGTGTTTGGGCAGAGCTGTCATTCTTGGGAGAAACAGGAGCAGGTGGCCAGGGACAGCTAGTAGGGAAGGAATGCGCTGGAGGGCAGGGCCTGTGGTTTAAAGACCGATAGGCTGCCTAGCCTGGAGCAGTGCACACACTTGGCAGGCAGGCTTTCTAAATCAAACTCCATGTAATTCCTAGCAGTGTGAGCAGCATCTCAGAAACACGGACGAACCAAACCGTCTTTGGAGTTTCCAAAGGTGCTCTGGCAGTGTGTGTGTGTGTGTGGGGGGGGGGGGGGGGGGGGGGGGGGAGCAAAGACGGGAACAAGGGAAGGTGGACTGGGGAAATGTGATGCTGGCTGAGGATACTGTACTGGGTAAAATGAGCCCACAGGTCACGTGCATGCTATAAATACCCGTTCCAGATTGGCAATGCAAACTCAGCAAGAACACACAAATCGGAAGGCTTATGTTCAAAAGATGCCTGGAATTTGTTCAAAATAGTATCTGGGAAGGAGAGAGGGTAAGGTTGTTGGTGTAGATAAGACAAGACTGGTCATGACTGGATAGCTGTGGGACCTGAGAGTGGAGGGGGGGTGAGACAGAAGACCAAAAAAAAAGGTAACAATCAAAGAGGATGGGGGGGGTCCAGGGAGAGAGAGGAGGAGGCAGGAAGGCTAGAGAGAGAGCTCTGAGTGACAAGAGCTGGGGAGAAGGGAGTTATTGCTACCCTGCCACTTCAGAACCAGAATCCACCTAGAGTCAGAGAAATCTGGGCCAGGTGAATGCTGGAGGTAATCTAGTCACCGTTTCTGCCACCAATTGGGACACTGAGGTCCTGAAAAGACAGCAGCTGGAGCATGGTCGCCCAGAGCTGAAAGAGTGACTCCTATGTGGCCACCCGAGTTCTTAACACACGGTTCTCTCAGCCCCAGGTTCTCTCTAGAGTGTGGTGGACACAGCCAGGAGTCAGGGTACACATCCGAAGCCTCAGCACTTGGGAAGCTGAGGCACCCCAGGCTACATAGTGCTTCCAAACCAAAACACAAACACAAGACAAAACACAGCAAGCAAACAAAAACCACAGCTTTGTGTCACCCAGAAATTTCTATTATCCCTCTGGACAAGCGAGGCCTACGGCAAGCTGCCTGGTCACTTTGACGTCACTAGTCAAGAGAGTGAGCCCCCAGCTGTGGGATGGGTGGTAACTGGTGCATGAGCCCCTTCTCTTCCAAAGGAAGTGTCAAGAGCGTGAAAGGACAGAGAGCGAAGTCACCACCAGTCAACACGCCTGGTTTAGGGAACCAGAGGAAAGGGAGGGACTCAGCAGGTAATTATGTGTGCTGTGCCAGTCTGGCAACCTGAGTTCGATTGCCAGGACTCTTGCAAAGGTGGAAGGAAAGGACTGACTCTTCAAACATTGTCTTCTGACCTCTACATATGTGATGTGGCACACGTGCCTACCCCTACACCATGTGTAAACATGTACAGGGAAGCACATCTCCACCCTAAATAAAAAGTAAACGAATAAAAGAACAAGGAGGTGTGCTCACCTGTACTTTCCGAGAGAAGGTGCTCTCAGATGCCCACAAGCTTGGCTCCTTGGCAGCCTGGGGGCTGTCGGTCTCAGGTGGGCCCCTCTGCACGTGCTCTCTTATAGACACCTGCTCATATTCCTGAAGCGCGCCGGGCTCCAGCCCTTGGATGGTGGTGATCTTTCTTTGTATTGAGTGCGGGCCTTGTGTGACCTCCTCTTGCCAGGAAGTTTGTGCAGCTTCTTGTGGATGGGGCGCCGTGGAGCCCTGTTTATCCCAGTCCAGGGTTCTAGGGTCCGGGACAGGTGATAGATGGACAGAGAGAGAGAAAGGACAATGGTTCACCTTCAGGCTCAGCTCTCAGACATGCCCCCCGTCCCCCTGAAACTTGGCTCAGCTAGGATACAGCCTGCAGTGTCCTCCGCCCCTCACACAGGCAGACACGCTGGGAACATTGCAGCCGACCTCACGGCCTATGCCCTGGTGGGCACCTGACTCCAGTACATGCGCGGCTCCCTCTTTCATTCTTTGCAGTCTTCTTATTCTGTCACCTTATCTACAATTTCAACCACTTCCCTCTATACACACACACACACACACACACACACACACACACACACACACACTTTGTACCCTGCTTTCCTGCTTTGCTTTTCCATTTACCACTTGCAGTTATCCAGGAAGATTTCTATTTGTCGGTTATTATTACTTTTTTATTTAAATTTTTCTGTTTTTCCCATTTTCATGCATATATGTTATGCATGTGTGTGTATACATACACATGTGTGTACAGCTGCTCACATATGTATGTGTGTACATGTGCCTGTTAGAAGAGGCCTGAGGCCGATATTGGGAACCATCCTCCCTTGCTCTTCCACCATATTCACCGAGGTAAGTTTTCTCAGTCATACCCAGGGTTTGCTGATATGGCCAGTTTAACTAGCCAGCTTGCTGCGGGACCCCTATGCATCCACCTTCCCGGGTTAGAATTACACCCAACATCTATGTGGGTTCTGGGGAGTCAAACTCTGGTCCTCATGTTGGTGCGAATGGCTCTTCAGCATTGAGTCATCTCCCTAGCTACTGAAATTTCGATTTTAGTTGTAGCTGTCCCTTACTAGCCAAGAGGAGCTGGTTCTATGACCCCCAGCATACCAAAATGCACGGATGCTCAAGTTTCTTATGTGAAACGGTATGAGACGGCACGGAGCGCGCACACACCCTCTTCCATACTTTAGGTCACCCGAGACGACTTATAATTCCCAACAGGAGGGAAATGCTGGGTAAATGGTTGCTATACTGCACTGTTTAGCGAACACCAAGAGACACCTGCGCGTGCTCACTGCAGCTGCCATTTACTTGCTCCACGGCTGGTAGAAGCCATGTATTTGGAAACCATGATTGTGAAGCCATGGAGACTTCAAAGGCCAGCTTTAGTTCTGGCTTGATTGACATTGACATATCTTGATTGACATATCTTGTTGCCTGCCAGTTTCCCCACTAGAACATTCCTGCAGGCAGACATTTCCCTGATTTCTTCCCTGGCACACAGTGAATGCTCGGTACCCATAGGTAAGTGAGTGAGAGACTGAGAAGGACCGGTCCACACTGGATGGCTGACCAAGGCCACACAGCCAGGAAATGATCCAGCCGGGTCAGAGCCCGCCTTCAGGGAGCCTGCCGCTCTAACAGAGCAGTGGCCAGCAGACAAGAAGTGCTGGATGTGACCCTCACAGGCTCAGTCCATCGAAGTCTCCCCACTAATCAAAGGCTTTCTTTAGGAACTGAAATGAATGATCTGCCATCTCCTCATGAAAACCATTGTGGAAGTGCCCCAGGGATGGCCCCTGCAGGCTTCAGGACAGTGAGGAGGACACAGCTGCTCCCTGGCCTGGCCAACGCCGAGCCAATTGGGTGGGTACTCCCTGCTAGGATCCTAGGAGCCACTTTGCTTTAGGGAGACTCATAAGCAAAGGGACCTCAAAGAAAAGGGCCTCAACACCAGGACAGGGAGGGACACTCGGCTCACTCCTGCATTTCCTCTGCCAGCTCCGAGCCTTTGCCTACACTTAGCACCGTGCTGGGCTCTGTCCCGCAGAGATATGGGAGTGCTCTTTGGTGCCAGGAATTCAGAAGTGCTGAGCCCCTGTGCCATGGTGTAGCCACATGTCCAACAGGGCATCTCCTAGGCACACATGTCCCAGATCCTCTGCATTTCTCCTGCTGGGCACAACTGGCAGGGAACTAGCTGGCCTTTGTGGGTCACGACTCCTTTCTGATGGTGGTGGCTTCAGAGGCATTTGTGTTTATTTGCCACCAGGCATTTAGGATACAGGATGAGTGGCAGCATCCAAGTCCAGCACCAAGAAAAGTCAGACCCAAAGCCCAGGAAGACAGAGGGACCCATTGACCAGCCCTTACCTGGCCTGGCTTCTGTCCAGCACCTGCCTCACTGAGGGTGAGTCTGTGATTCGGGCGTGAACTCGCTGCTGGCCTGAAACAAGAGACACTTCAGTCTCCGTGTCCTGCTCTGCGCCTGAGACCTCCTGCCTCTTCTTTTCTGACCTCTGACCTTCCTCCTGACCTAGCAAATCAGCCAGGCCATTTGTGGCATCTGAATCCACTGTGTCGTCCTCCACCAGCTCCTGAGAGCCCAGCTCCGGGCCCTGCGGCTCCTCTGAGAGTGCCCCCTCCAACTTCCACTCTTGCGTGGCATCAGAGTCCTCGGCCTTGCTGCACTCCAGGGAGGAGTCCTCAGCAGTGACCAGGGACGGGGTGAGGCCCGCAGACCACACCTGCATGTCAGACATCTCCAGCATGGTGTCATGCTCCGTGGCCGCCAGGGGGATGGCGTCTATGACAGCCACTTCGTTCCAGTACTGGTCTGCACACAGCGGAGAGGGAAGCGCGTAGTGCAGGGAGGCGGGGGACAGCAGCTCGTCCTGCAGTGAGGAGTAACCTGGAAGGGCAGACAGAGGGCAACATGCTCCAGAAGCGATTTTTGTCACACACACATTCACGTGCAGGACCACACACACTTACACACAGGCACGGCCACAGACAGGCATGCACATTCAGGGCAGGGGCTTTCCAAGCTCCAAGTCCAAAGCTCAGGCCTTGTGGCTAATGCCGGGACACCCTGGCAAGAGAAACGAGGCTCTGAGCTGGATGGGGGCAGCCAAGGGGTGAGGGTAGAGAAGGGGGCTCCTTTGCTGGAGGGCAAAGAAACGTGATTGAAATTCATTCTTATCCAGCTCTGAGCACTAGATAAGGAAGGCTTTAGCCAAAGGACTTGTGCTCCGATCTGTCCGGATCGATCACACGAAAGCCCCAGTCTCCGTGGCTGGCGGAGTCAAGGATGATCTAGGCTCAGTCTTCCGAGTCCTGTTAGGAATGTACCTTGGGGGGGAGAGTGCAGCCCACCCAGGATCAGGGTCAGTAACGAGGCTGCCCTGGAGGGGGTCTGACAGGGTACACTGAACATCCACAGACCTCAGTGCGGTGGTCAAGTGGGGACAGGCTTCTGGATAGGCATGAAGTGACTTTTCCTCAAGGTGCATATTGGTTCCACAAACTCTGAATGATCTACAGTGGCACAGGTGAGGGTTCTAAGGGGTCAAAAATGGCGCAAGGTCAGAGGGCACCGTGGGTTCCAGTACACCTGCCCGCAGGGCTTCCTCCATAGGCCCTGAGCTATCCACCCAGCTCTGGCTCAGCAGGGACCCGGCACAGCCTGGAATCTGCAGCCTGCTCCCATTCCTGCCCCTTGCTCGGGAAACGTGTTCTTGGCTCTCTGGTGTTCGGAAGTGACTGTGACTGGGTTGAGAAGCGTGGCTGCTGCACGTGGGGGATTTGTGTGTTGGGCGGATGTCAGAGCTGCTTCAATCCTCCCACGCCCAGGAGTCACAGGGGGGGTCCTTTTGTGCCCAGGAGAGTGGTGCCAATCTACAGACAAACTTGTCTGTCTGGTACAGTGTCTGAGGAGCCAGGGAACTGGTGTGCCTACAGCTGTTAAAGACCCAGGGGAAGCAAAGTGTGTGTGCGTGCAATGGAGAGGGGCTATGTTATTTCTAGGGACGTTTCATTATCTGGTCCTCCTAAGCCTTATGCCCAAACCCTTCAATCAGCCAGCCCCGCCCCAGTACCCACAATCCCTAAACCAGGTTTGTATGTTCATTCTCTGATCTCCATTCTTATTCTTTCTGACCTAGCCTGCCTCACTCTCAGCTCGGGCACCGGCTCTCCCATGGCCTCTGCATCTAATAGCACTGTCCCCATTTCTCCTTACTCCTCCACGTACTCAGCCGAAACATGGACACACACCAGGGTCTGATTCCATGCCAGGCGCTGTGCTAAAGGGCTGATAAATGCCACACACACACCACACACACACACACACACACACACACACACACACACAGATTCAATTCAGGTTCTCTTTTTAAACACTTCTTGTAATATGGGTCTCCTGGTAAATACTTTCAGCTTTTACACGTCTGGAAGAATTTTTATTTTTTTGTTTAATTTAGTTTCTAATTTTATTTTGAGACAGGGTTTCCTGTACATGGCTAACCTGAAATTTGCTATATAAATCAAGCTGTGCTGAAAAGCACTACCTCTCTGTCTCCCCGACTGAATGCTAAGATTACAGGCATGCTCGCTTCACTGGGATTCCCACTCCCCCTCCTTACTAGACAGCTCAGGTTGGCTTCCAACCTGCTATGCAGTTCATGTTGGCACTGAACTTTCCTCTCTTCCTCTTCTTCTAAGACAGAGTCTCAACCATGTAGCCCTGCCTGGCCTGGCACTTGCTACATAGACCAGACTGGCCGTAAACACACTGAGGTCTGCCTGCCACCGTCTCTTGGGTGCTGGTATTGAAGACATTGCTGCTAATATTACTTTTTCACCTTCCTCCTCCTCTCTACCCCCCTTCTCCTTTTCTCACTCCCTTCCAATGTCCCCTCTGTCCCACTAGAGAGCGACCCCAAGTCTCACACATTCTAGGTCAACTTTCTAAGCTTACTCCAAGCCATGCCTGCGCATTCTTCTTTGATGGTGTTTTGCTTTATCATACCCGTTGGTTTCTTGCTTTTACTGTTTCCTCTGAGTCTATAATGCTCATTTTGGCTTCCTTGTATTGAGTTCCCTTTCATGCCTACTTTTGACCAATTTGCTTATTGCATACCTCAATATAATTGTTAAAATGCTTCTTGCATATGGAGTCCATGATACTATTATATCAACATGTTTATAATTTCCACCAAATCAGAATACGTTCAGCACATATATGTACACATACATACATATATGTACACGCATGCATGCACACACACACACTTTTGGTCACTGATGATTTTTACATCTTTTCTCTTCCTCCTGTATTTCGGCTTGGAGGGTGTCTGTCGACAGAGCCTTCTTTGTGTAGCGAGGCAAATGCTGCACTGCTGAATCCCACCTGGAACCATGCTCTGACGATGAATCGCAGCTGCTCTGACTGCCCTGCCATCTTTGCCCACGCATCTGTTCCCGGCCTTCTTCTTCTGCCCATTACTGAGTCAGTTTTCCTGCTTCTGGTGTCTGATCATCTTTAATTAGCTGCCAGACACTGGTAATTTTACCTTTCTGGGTGCTGGATGTTTTCCTTGCTCTGCACCTCCTTGGCGGCTGTCCTGTTAAGCAGTTTCTTAGGAAAGCAGTTTGATCCCATTGCATTTTGCTTTTGGCATTTCTTAGGCAGGTCTTATGCGTTGCTCAAACTCTGGTTAATTATTCCCGCTTCCTGAAGCGTGGTCCTTCTGTAACTAATGTCTGAATGGCCAGGCTAGTCATTGGGAATATCTGCTCAATACTCAGCTGAAGTGTGTAGCGACCTCCAGAGGACTCTAGTGTTCTGACTCCCTCTCTTTCTCTCTCTGGTTATTTTGAGACAGGGTTTCTCCCTGTAGCCCTGGCTGTCCCAGGACTCTCTTCATAGACCAGGCTGGTCTCGAACTCATAGAGATCCATCTGCCTCTGCCTCCCAGGTGTTAGGATTTAAGGTACGTACCACCAGTGCCCAGCTGCCTTCTGATTCTTGTTAGATGTTTCTTTTCTAGCCTGCTATCTTGGGGAGTATAGCTGCTTTGGATTCCATGACCTCAGCAGCCTCCCCTTAACCCAGGCAGACTACCTGGGTTTCCCTAGAAAGGCAGTTAAAGCTGAATCTGGGCATCAAAGAACTCTCTCCGTTTGTGTCTCATGGACCACTGACTCTCACCTCCTCACGTCCAGTGTCTTGCAAACTGTTGTCTCATAGAGGGTGCTCCAGTTCTGGGCAACATCGTTGTTAAGGGGGGGGGGTCATGTCTAACCCCTGTGACTTGGCCATAAGTGTGTACATCATAAACATCATAGACAGATTGTCATCTCCTGTCATTCTATCAGGCCTGGGAATCTCGTCAACACCTCAGGGTGAAGGTTTTCTGCCCCCAAACACCAGAGGCTCCGGCACTTGTCTGTAACTCTTCCACCTTGAAGCTTCGACGGTCTTCATCTGAGTGGAAATTCCATCTAAATGAGGTGTGAGTGGAGAAGACACACGTGTAGTTTCTGTTCATTGTCACCCCAGGGGACTGCCTTCAGGATGTTTCCTGTTTCCAGACTTCGATCCTAGAAGCTCAGCACCAACACAGCTGACATGAGTAGGCACCTCTGTCAGTGTGGGGCTGTGGTCCCCGAGGCCTATGTACCTGCACGAGGGATGTCTCACTAGGTCGGGGGTAGAGAAGCCCTTGGGAAGATCTACCTCTGTCCTACCTAAGTTTCAGAAGCGCTCACCATTCTAGGATTCTTGTTGTTCTGTCCCATTTGGGTTGCCAGACTATCTTCTGGTCTAAAAGTCTTGCATTTGAAGTGTGACCGTAGGAAGATCAGATCGTAGTCTCGTACAATAAGGCTTGGCACAGAGGAAGCCAAGGGCCTTCCTTCTCTCTCTCCCTCCCTCCTTCCCTCTTTCCCTTTCTCCTTTTTCCTTTCTTCCTTTCCTTCCCTCTCTTTCCTATTCTTCCTTCCTTCCTTCCTTCCTTCCTTCCTTCCTTCCTCTCTCCCTTCCTTCCTTCCTTCCGTCCTCCCTTCCCTTCGCTTCACTTCCCTTCTTCTTCCTTCATTCCTTCTTTATTTTTCTAAAACATATAGGGATTTCTTTCCACCCTACTGGGCAGGTCTCTGCAGGGCAGGGAGCCGGTTCTCACAGTGGGAGGAGGACCCTACTCCACTTGCCAGTTTTGAGTGAGTTCCTCAGGGCCCCAGTGACAGAGTCCTCACATAGTGACATCTGTACCTATACTACTTCACTTTGGCTTCTTGAGCTGAGAAGAGCCTGGGACTGCAGGTGGCCTTTCTTTACAGCAGGTCCTTGTTGACTGATGTGGACTACTTTTAGGCCTTGTCTATCTCGGAGACCTGGGTCCCCAACTCCTCCGTCACAGTCTCCAGTACCAGGTGGCAGGACTTCCTGAGGGCTTGAGCCAGCCCAGGAGATTCTTACTGGGGCAGCTGATGAGAGCTTCCATGCTGTTCTTGACTGACCACTTGAGCACAGAGAGGACCTGTGGTAAGTGCCTTCTCCTTCCACTTCCGTGGCTCCTCTTACGTCATCTTATCCTTAGTGAGGAGGCTCTTGGGGGAGGTTTGGCCTGAAGATCATGCCTGCCTGTATCATGTTGCTTTGGCTTCTTGAGTAGAGAGAGAGCTGGGCGGGATGCCAGGTGGCCTTAGGTGGCCTTTCTTCTTAGCAGGTTATTGTCCTGGGTCTGTACTAACTCAAACGCAGTAAGTCACCTTCTTACTTAGTTCAGTGTTCGTAGCCAACAAAAGCTACAGCCAGGTAACCTGGTCCCCGGCAGGAGTCACACTTCACTAGCCGCATCATCGAACGCTGATATAAATAAGTACAATTCGTGTCCAACTAGACAAAACATGTCTCATCAAGACAGATGGAGCTGATGGATACAAGACGTCTGTTTTTTCTTTCTGTATAAGAAATGTCTCATTTTTTTTAGAAGCCTGGGGTTATTTTTGTTCTTTGTTGTTGTTTTTCTTACAGGCATTTTTTTTTTCTTTGTCCACGGGCCTGGGTGGTCCCCTCTTACGGAGGAGAACCACCGGCCTTTCGGCCAGGTCTCCTTTCCCACAACAGTGCAGGCATGTAGGCTGGGAAAAGCTGTGGTGGGAGGAGAGTCCTCTCAAACAAGGACGCCACCCCTGCCCCCACTCTTTCTGCGGGCACTGACCTGAGTCTCTGGGACCTCAGCTAGAACAAGCAGAGGAATGAGGCAAAGCACTCTGAAACTGAGGTGATGGGACAATCGTAACGTGTGGGGCTCGGCTGGCACCGGGACAGGCACCATGTGTCCCTGTTAGAGGACACCCAGAGAAGGCAGAGGAGGCTGGCGCCTCTTCCTCCCTGCACGTCTGACCCCTTGCATCCTTTCATTTCTGACCCCAAGGATAAATGTGGGACAGGGACAAGGGTGCAGCAACAATACCCAAGCCAATCCTGATGCCCAGGAGGCGGAGAGGTTCAGGCCAAGGATCAGCTTATGATATTTGCCCCCTCTGAGGGCAAGATGCCTTCAGGGTCCAGAGTCTAGGCTCATCTGGAGATCTGTGGGCTTTTGGGTGCGGGGGCGGGGTTCAGCACGCTGCACAGAGAAGCCAGAAGTGCAGAAGCATCTGAACTCGACAAAGCAGAGAAGAATCCTTTGAAGATGTCATTCTGTCACTCAAACTCCACCCCCACAGAACCCTAGGGTCTTCTGACAGTCCTTAGGGGTCGGCTTCCTGGTGCCTCTTAGGACTCCCGCCTTCTCTCTCCCTACCTCCTACTGTCCCAGCCTCTCTGGTTCCTCGCTATTTGTGAATCCACCAGGCATGCCACCCTTCTGGAATGTTCTTTCCTTCTTGTTTACATATGGCTCATCCCCTCATCATCTCTGTGTCTTTGTTCAAACACAACTATCCTACCCTGCTCCTCAGTTCCTTTATTCTGACCTGTTCCTCCCCATATCACTGTGAGGCCATATCACATATAACACATTATATATTCTCACACATATCATATTATCCATGGGCTCATAACAGAAGGACGACTTCACAAAGGCAGAATCTTGTTTTGTTTTCTTGCCCAAGAACTGATTTCATTTCCCTGCCTACAAGGGTGTCTAACATGTAGCTGATGCTTGAAAAATATTTACCAGTTGGGCTAGCCCACGACAACAGAGCCCTATCATCAGACACAGAACACACAGACTTGGTCCCACTCAAGGACTTGGGACTGCTGAGGCATTAACACTCTTCTGGTCTGACTGGAGCCAACATCAGTCCTTCCGACCCAGGGAATTCTAAGGGTCTGCTAGTCCCATGAATGTTAACTCAATTTAGGGCATTAAAATAATCTGTGGGTTTAACTTGCTTGAAATAACACAGGCAATATTAAGAAGCCCATGTTTGGTCACTTTTATTTCCCAAAGCTCACAGATGTTCTCAGCTGCCCTTCTTTTTCCTTCTGCAAAGGGGGAGCTGGCCTACTTAGGAGCTCCCCATAGGGTTCCAACCAGGTTCCTAGAGGGCAGCTACAATCCCCATAGCTGTAGATCGCTGTTCTGGAACCCTCTGGACCTGAAGAGTGAGAGGAGCCTACATGTCAGCAGCCACCACAAGGCAACACAGACGACACGCCATGCACACGCAACAGATGCCCAGGGGGACAGCCATGAGATGCGTGGGGTGGGGCGGAGCTAGGAGTCCTCTGTGACATGCACTCGTGAACTCTGACAGCTCTGCCCACTTGGCCAGGTGGAGACAGTGGAGAACAGGAAGCACAAGCGAATGAGTCGTCAGGATGAGGTCAGAGGCAGAAAGAGAGGAGACAGGACATGACCAGTAGATGAGCCCCACGCCTGCTGGGGCCACATAGCATGTTTCAGGAGACACAGGACATGAGAGAGAGAATGGGGGAGGTTTGGCATGCACAGGCCCCACCTGACGGAAGGAGGCCCTGTGTCCAGCCTAGTCTAGAACTCACCTGCCCCTGGCTACTCCCTGCTTCCTGGTGGCACCCCAAGCCGTGACTCGGGTGCCCTTGGAGCCGCTATGACTAGGGACAGCCTTTAAAACTACCGGCTTGGGGAGCACTGCTGTCACTCCATAGCTGTCCATAGGGAGGTACGGGACATCAGAAGAAGACACATCTCACAGCTGACAAGATTTTCAAAGTTAGTAAGCAGCTTGGAATCTAATCCAACTTCTAAAGATGAGGCGATGTCTCTACCACACAAGAGCCAGCAGACAGGAAGGCTTCTGAGCCCCCACACTGGACTGGGGGAAGCGGGGCCCTACTGATGTCCACTGGCCAGAGAGAGGGTGGATGAAGAGAAAGGTCTTGGGACCTCCAGGCTCTGCTCCTCCACGGAAGTGCCTGCTTCCAGCACTACTTTGGGTGGTGTGCAGGCCTGAGACACAGCTCAGTGGCAAAGGTCAGGGCCTCCTGGGCTTCATCTCCTTGAGATGAGCCACACTGGGGCTCCCTGCCATGCTGAACCACACTGAAGAGTACAGGGGGACAGGTGAGATGAGGAAAAGGGGAGCGAGTGTGACAAGGAAGAGAGACTGGGCTTGAGGAGAGGACACCCTTAGTCCCGAGGGTTCACGGTGGGATTTCAAACAGCATCAACTGATCCCCATCAGACCCTGGGCCAGAGCCTCCCTGTGCCTTACTTCCTAACCATGGAAAATTCTGCAGACAGGGACCCAGGGCACAGGTCCTTTCGTGCCTTGTGAAACAGAAAGTTTGGAGATTCTAGGGCAAGGGCCTAAGCAACTTCTTCCCAGACTCAAATCCTTTCCTGCCATGCCAGGCCCTTCTGGGACCTTCGTTCTGGGGGCTGGTGGTGAGGGCCTGGGAACTGCTCCCCATGTGGGCACAGAGACAGACAGCCCTGGAGGAGGATGCCCACCTGCAGAGGCGGGTACCACCTGTCTCCCTCACTTGCCTCTACTCTCCCTGGTAGGAGGAGCTGCATCGCTGATAACCCTCCCATCAACAGAGGGAGAGATGGTTTAGGGGAAATGAAGTGTCTTGGGAAGGGGCCTAGGAGGCAGGGCCCCAGCTCGGCCTGGTCTCACAGGAGACTCACCATTCATCTGGGAGGGTGATAGTGAATAGTCCCGGTCCCCGTGCCGCCGGTCTGGTTTGAGGTTGCGGCTCTGCCTGCCGGAGCCCTCCAGCATGTTAACGATCTCGCTTCTGTCGATGTTCCGCAGGGCTGTGTACAGATTCTCCACTGTCGGCAGAGAAGAGAGGAGGCAGCTTAGGAGCAAACTCACACGGTTCTAGAGCAACAGGAAGGCCGTGCAGGCCTTACAGCCATGGGGCAGGAGGAAGTGTGGGGAAGAGAAATAGTTCCCCTTTTTGGCTAACATCTTTTTCTCCAGAAAACTCAGAGTGGCAGTTGTGGTTTGGCTTTTTGGTTTTGTTTTGTTTCTTTCAATGCTGTGGATGGAGCCCATGGCCTTGTGCATGCTTGGCAAGTGTTCTGGTTCTGCTGAACACAAACCAGAGGCTCAACGGCCAACGTGAAACATCTAAAGGTAGGTGTGTGTGTGTGTGTGTGTGTGTGTGTGAGAGAGAGAGAGAGAGAGAGAGAGAGAGATGTGTGTCTGTGTGTGTGTGTGTATGATAGCTCTAGGTGTGTGTGTGTGTGTGTGTGT